GTGGTCTACCGGGTCTCTGTGTTTTGGGACACCTCCTAAGTGGCAGGAGGGAATTCCTCGAGGATCCTGGACGCACCAGCTCAAGCTGGAGGGGGACAGGAGGTAAACGAAGGAGGTGAAGGACACAGCTTCTCAGCCCAGATCTTCGGATGCCAGGAGGACCGGCTTTGTTTCTGGGCGGGTTTGGGGCTCAGGGGGCCAGATCTCGAATCAGGCTGCCTAGCTGTGGGGCGGGAGAGCGCAGAGCAAGCTGGTGGGGGTGGAGGGTCCATGTGCTGGGGACACTCACGCATGCCACCACTTCCTTCCTTTCGGCCGCCAGCAGCTCCAGGGTTGGGATGACACCGGGGAACAACTCAGGGCTGGACAGGCTTCTTAGCATGGCCTGGGCTTCCCAAAGGCCCCGTGAGTGGGGCTGAAATGCACCCCTAGCGGAGCACTGCACCCCATGTGAGCCCAGTCTGCCTAGAGGGGGCGCCCTTTTGTGATTAGCAAGAAGGTACTTTTTCCATTGCTTTTTAGAGATGGTGGAAGGTGGGGAGAGAGAGAGAGAGAGACATCAATGTGAGAGAGACACATCAATAGATTACCTCCTGTACGCACTGCAACTGTGGCCAGTGATTGAGCCTGCAACTGAGGTACACGCCCTTGGCTGGAATCGAACCCAGGACCCTTCAGTCTGAGGGCCGATGCTCTAACCACTGAGCCAAACTGGCCTGGGCCAAAAAAAATATTTCTAATAAACTTAGTGTAGCCTGAGCTTGCAGTTCTCCAGTAAAGTCTACAGTAGTGAACAGTAATGTCCTGGGAACTTCACATTCCCTCACCACTCACTCGCTGACTCACTCGCTTGACTCCTGCAAGTTCCCTTCACGGTAAGTGCCCTGTACAGGTGCGCCATACTTTTCACCTTTTTATACCATATTTTTACTGTACATAGAAAACCACTGTACCATTGTATTGCAGTTGCCTACAATATTCAATACAGTAACATGCTGTCCAGGTTTGGAGCCTAGGAGCAAGAGGCTGTACGGTGCCAACGAGGTGCGTGTGGGCTGCACCATCGGCGTGAGTCAGGGCACGCTATGGCGCTCACGCACCATGGGACTGCCCAGCAATACTCTGCTCAGGATGGGTGTCTATGATTAAGTGGTTAGTTGGGAAAGGAATAAATACCATTTAATAACAGACTATGGAAGTCAGAGCAAGTTTGTCAAAGACTCAGATGAGGCAACACCAGAGAGAATAGAAGGAGGAATATTCATGCAGAGAAAGGAAGACAGAAAACAGAAAGAGACAGACGAGGGTGTAATGAAAGCGAGAGCACTGGAAACTCCCAGTATGAACCCCCCAGGCAGATGTCTGCACGGGCACCTCTACCAATTGGTATGTTTTCAGTTCATTCCTAGAGTGCAAAAGAAAAACAGAGGCAGAAAAGAAACACATGTCCAGAAAACAGAAACAAGCACTTGCCTGAGGATAGAGATTTGGGGCAGAGCCATCGCTGGCACCGTGGGACCAGGGTAAAGTCCTCGCGCCCAGGCCAGCATCCCACTGGGCCAGGGGCCAGCGCTGATGTTTGGAAAACTTCACCTGACCGGGGAAGCCCAGCTGCTCATCAGCCTGGCACATAAAAGCCACCATGGAGGGTGCAGGCAGTGCTGTCGAGGGTGGGCGCCACTCTGGACATTTTGCAGAGGACAGCGGAAGGCAGGCCCCGCTCCAGCACGAGGCGCCGAGGGCACATTGCAGGTGAGCAGTGAGGGAGAGGCTGAGGGAAGGGGGGTCTCAGGCCCAGCGCCTCTCTCCGCTGGGGGTGCTCATCCCAGCGCCCTGAGATCCGTCCCTCTGCCAGTCTAACCAGGGGCAGGGGCTGGACTCCAGGCCTCCCCCTCGGCCTCCCTGAGTCCCTCGTTTCCTGCAGGAGCAGAGATGGGACCAAGTGGCACAGCCGCAGTGTCCTTGTGGGTCTTGGTGACCGTGAGCATGGCGGTGGACACCGGCTTGGCTGAACCCAGGCGCTGCCTCCTCTCGCACTACCGCTGGCTGGAGCCCAGGGCGCTGGCCGCCGTCAGGGAGCTGAGGGACCACTACGTGAGTGATGCCCAGGCCCCAGGCCCCAGGGGACGCTGGGCCTCTGGGTACAAGATGCTGGCCCTGTCCCAGGGGCCCTGGCATCCCAGCGGCCAGCACCCCATCTCGGACCTCAGGGTCCCGATTTCTGACCACAAGACCTTCCCAGCCGCCAGCATCAAAAACGCAGAAACTGCCTACCTGCCGGTCACAAAAGGGCGCCCCCTCTGGGCGGACTCGGCTCACGTCGGGGTGCAAGCTCCCCAAGGGATCATGTCGCTCGGCG